TTTTTTGTCTGTTTTCAGTCTTCATTCTTGACGTTGGTAAGCACTGTTTTGTTTGGATTGGGAAGAATGCCAGTACACAAGAGAAAAAGAATGGGATGACCTATGCCCACGTAAGAGCCAGAGTTCACGCAGCCTTATTCACGTATCATAAAACGTAAACGCAGCCTTATGCAAGTATCATAAAACGTAAACGCAGCCTAGTATTCAAATATCATAGAACGTAAACACAGCTTTATTCAAGCATCATAACGTAAACGTAGCCTTGTTCAAGTAGTATCATAAAATGTAAACGCAGCCTTATTCAAGTAGTATCATAAAACGTAAGCGCAGCCTTATGCAAGTATCATAAAACGTAAACGCAGCCTAGTATTCAAATATCATAGAACGTAAACATAGCTTTATTCAAGAATCATAACGTAAACGTAGCCTTGTTCAGATATCATAAAACGTAAACGCAGCCTTATTCAAGTAGTATCATAAAACGTAAGCGCAGGCTTATTCAAGTATCATAAAATATAAACGCAACCTTATTCAAGTATCATAAAACGTTTCAGCATGATTAYCGTGYTCATTTCGTATTCGTTTTAGMGATATCTGTRTCAAACGCCACATCCTCTTATTCCCGTGAGCTGTATGAACGAAGGCTGCGAACAAAAAGAATTTCTTGATGGCTGGAAGTAATACAGGTCAGTGTGCTTTGTGTTTGCACTCAAAAAATCAGAGAACTCTTTATTCAGTGCTCGTTCTCTTTGTCTTAAGCAATTTCAAAAATAGTTGTCAGAGTGTAATGCCGGACCTTTGTGCGAGGTATTTAGTTTTCGGTGGAATATTCTCACTTACCTATTGAAAATCACTTACAAACCAAACAAGCCATCGGAATCTGTATTCGACGCAATCGACAGAATTGAGGCATCTCATATGAATGATTATAAAATTTTTGATATATAACGCGCGCTCTGATTGGCTGACGACCGTGTTTATATCAGAGGACAGAGACACGGCTTACCGGCAAAATTTTCTTTTCGCTCGAAAAATTTTATAAAAGAAATATCAAACGGCCGCTTGTGTCTCTGTCCTCTGATATAAACACGGTGGGAGTTGAAAAACACTCGAGAAGCAAGAGAAACACTCGCTACGCTCGTGTTCCTAAGCTTGCTTCTCTCGTGTTTCTCAACTCCCACCGTGTTTATATCAGAGGACAGAGACACGCGCGCCGTTTTATATTTCTTAAATATTGCCATCAATTGCTATTATCCTCAGTAACATTCGGTCGTGAATTCTTTCTTCGCTTTACAGCCTTTTTGAAATAGCAATAGGCCTAACCAAGAGCGTATCCAAGGAAGTASTTGAGAAAAGTTCTGGGAGTGACTGAAGCCTAAGCACCAAATGGCTGGCAGCGTTAAGCTAATAGAATGAAGTCATCTAGTGCTTTAGTAAATATGTTTATATTTTTTGTTTTTCAGTACCTCGACAATTAACGAAATATTGGTCAAACGGCCAGCACCTTCAATGTAGTCAAGACAGCTAGTATTATTAGACAAATAAAATTCTTCACGGAAAGCAATGTACAAGCACAATCCAACAATCATGGACAAATTGCCTAACAAATGTTTAGATGCTTTTTATAGTGTTCTATGGTTGTATCTCAAGCTACATAATTACAACACGTAATTTACAAGATGACGGGTCGCGAAAAAGGCTTCAAAGCTAAGACTGAAAGTGATCTTGTATACTGAGGAATTCGAATTGTATTTGCCTAAACATACATTACACCATTACTCGTAGAGAAAGTAATTTTATTCTGGTACATGTAATCTTTTCGCCTTTTAAAAGACACTGTTATATTCATAATATCAGTTTGCTTTCCCGTGTTCCCTTTCGGTCTTAGCTTTGATGCAGTAACCTTTTGAGACCCGATTACGTTTTTAGAATAAGGTGTATATGAGTAGTGAGGTTATCTACCATCCCACACCCCGTCGCTGTTGATGCAGCATTGTATCAGGGATAAGAGTCATGATAAACTCGTTTGTCCTTGATTGTAGGTATCCATCTATRGATGCTTTCCATTTAGGCAGAACTGACCGGGCAGTCCGCTCTATTTAGAGGTATATAATGCTTTTTGTCAACATTTATCAGTCATTTCGAGGTTTTCTATAGAATAATGGATAGAATTTGAAAATTTGAATTTCCTAACTAAATAGGAATGATATRCAATSACATTTTCTCTTGGTCTGGCCAGCCAGTTCTGACAAATGGAAAGCGCCCTATTACACCTATTTTCAGTTTTGCTATCAGCAATAGACTATTAGCATGRTGGTTTTACTACAACGAACACCAAACCTTGCACAYTTCCTTCTGACTTCTCTTCCACTGGAGATTAGTAAAATAATTGGGATTAATGAGATACACGTKGTAGTTAGTGGTGCCAGAGTTAGTAGAAGGGAACTAGTTCCCCTCTACTAACTCTGGTGGAGCCATAATGCAGATGGCCTATCGGATTAATTAGTATGATGAACATTACATCTCCTGCTACTCATGTTTTATTGACCTCCATCATTATTGACGCTCCAGGAAACCCAGTAATTTCAATGATTGACGTATATTTAAAAAATGATAATATTTCACGATGTTTGGTGCTTCAACTGTTTTAACTTGTTTTCGAGTTTTCTGGTGAAGTTAAAAAGAAGAAAACTAAAATCAAAATATTAAAATCAAAATTGTAAAATATTGATACTCTGAAAAAAACAGAACTTTTACAATCTGCAATATGGGGGACAAAATTGTAGAACTACTTTCACAAGATAGCAAAAAAAMTTGTTTTGTCCCCTAGATGTTGCTGTTTCGTCATCGCGTGCAAGAGATCTATAGGGTTCCCTAGACGCTGCGATATGAATGGTGAGGGTAGTAGTTAAAGTATAGGACTCTAACGGTGTCTTCTTGAGTTTGGATTGTCCGTATCAAACTGCATAGCTGTCAACCCTCCCGGATTAGCCGGGAGTCTCCAGAATTTGAGCCTCGTCTCRCTGTCTCCCGGATAATCGGCAAACTTTAAAAAATATGGTCTTGTATTAATGTTTGACCCAAAATATTACCGCTTACGAAAAAGCTACTTTTTGAATCATGAGCTTACTTGTTACTTACGATTCTTAATTTTTTTTGTTCAATAATAAATGTAGCTTTGCTTCCTGACCATGTAGCCGCCCCTTTTGTTGTGTTATGTCATGTAACCTCAGGAATCCCAAAATCCAACAATTTATGTTAATTAGGTTTTTACGAATCTCCAGAATTGAAAAGTCGGGGGGGTTGACAGCTATGAAACTGGATCCGACAGATGAAGTGTATGCCTTTCCTACTACATATTTCTACCTTATAGCAGCAGTATACAATTATAAGCCAATTGTTTAGAAAATGTCTCTAAATATACAGTAGTTTCTTTAGTTCAATCAGGAAAGGTCTTTCAAACTCATCAATAATGAACGTTCAATAAGTAAAAAAAATCTTTTCAACGATGAAGTCTCTGTTTCCAAATTTTCTTTTTTTTTCGTTCAACATTGGATGACCGTTCTGTATGTCGATAGTGGTCACAGATTCTCTAGTACAAAGGACTTTTCAGACAAAAGAAACCATTATAAATGTTGGCATGCTGACAACAGGCATTATCTACAAATAGGCCTTATCCACGATAGTCGAGAAGGATCTCTTGTACGACCTCCAGCTGATGGTAGATACTGGACTTTGACTTAACGTTTTCGTTGATTGGTTTCATTCCTACGCGGCCTAGACCGAAAAGGATTATGGGTAAAGTCATGAATAATAATTTGCCTCTATCAATCCACGTAAATCTTCACCATATGCTCAAGGCATGATTTCAGCAAATTACAYGGGATCGAAAACAGCGAGCTCAAGACGTGTCAGCCAATATATGCGGCAGCTAGCAAATGAATTGAAAACATGAAATCAAGGAGAGGCACACAGACTAAAAATATCGAAACATTGTATATCTCAATTTTATCCTCCATAATTATATTAAATTTGCAAAATCTTTATTGGGCACTAAGCTAGTGTACATGTAACTCCATTTTACAGTTTCCAGCGGCATCTTGAAACGCGCCTTTACATCCAAGCACACAGAGCAGTRGAGTACCAAGTGTGACCTCACAAAAATTCTTTTTTATGACTTTTTCGGATTCGTTGAAGCAAGTAGTGCCATTTATAGCGGATACAAGCCATGTAATCTTTGGGTGACCACATACAAACGCTTGTAAATTTGCTCTGGATCATAAAGTTTAAACTGGGATCATTTTGTTATGTGAAGACTCTGTTGACCTTACAATTATGGATACCTGTATAGACATAATTGGCTTCAACCCAATTCAAACCACCTGGGAGTAARTTTCATTGTTCGTTGTRTTTTCATTTCAGAGTTGAATTCTTAGAAACAAAAGTTCTTTTTCCCACAGGATTTGAATTGGGTGGAAACGTGCATAGCAACGTCGTTAGCCGATTAGGTCTATTGCAAGAGAAAATGAGGTAAGAGAAGGAATCCCTGGTAMTGCGTTCTTAACCCATCATATCAGCCCTTCGTTCTATTTTTAGAAAAAGAGCTATTTTTAGAAATGGAACATGATTGGTCAGATCGTATGATCGATCAAGGACAACATCCTTTCGTGTTGAATCTACAAATGTAAATTATGYGTTTTATAAWTTATCTATTCCAGGTTAAATATTACTGCTCGAGAGGTCAGAGAATTCAAAGGTCAGATTGTCGATCTAATTTCATGTCACATTACCTWCAGAAGCTGATTCTTCTTCGACACTTTCAAGTTTTCTTTGTTTTGAAGAAGATTCCTTTTCTTCTTCAAGAAGTTTCCTTTTTAAAAGCGAATTTCGTAGCTTTAATTTTCTCGAACAGTATTTGACATTTAGTTTTTGGCGATGAAAAATAGCCGATATCAAATTCCGATAAACGAGTAGTGGTCGCGCGGGCTTGGTAACAAACTAAAAATAGCTCTTTTTCTAAAAATAGAACGAAGGGCTGATATGATGCATGGGTACCAGGGATTCCTTCTCTTACCTCATTTTCTCTTGGTCTATTGTCATCGGATGTCAGCAAAAAATCAACTACTGCCTCGCTTTCATGCGAACTTTTTCAAGGTTGTTCTGTGAGCTCTAAAATGGAGTATTGTACTGTTACATTATAAATGAAAACCATCATGGAGTATATAGTGAATAAGACCTTTTTGGAAAGCCTGTAATGAAAAAGGATTCGACAGAGGGACTAGGGTAGAGAGACCTGGGAACGAGCCTCATAACGGGTGCGAGAGGAGACTATGTTACCGCAAAAACGCTAATCATTTCCATCTTTAATTTTTCGTTAAATGACGCTAAAAACCCGTTATATTCCCGAGATAATTCATACCAAGATGAGATAAGTGGTATATGGACTTCCATTGATATTATGAGGAAATAATGCCGACTATCTAACCTGAATCGTAAATTAATGAAGAATAAAATTAGATTTTATTTAAATCCATTCTTTTATTTTTGAAAAAGAATCAAAATCAAAGCATAATCTTAATTAACAGCCGAACTATGGCGGCTTCTCCTGGAAACGAGAGTAAGTTTCTACACTATTACCTGCTACAAGTRGATMTGTGACAGACATTCAACCAAGTCGAATAATAAAAAAAATCTGCGTGAACGAGATACAAATTTTGAATTAATGAATAATTAATTTTGGGGTTTCGGAAATCGTGGTGTAAAGTTGCAAAGAATAGTTCTGCTTGCCGATCTCTTTTACACTGTATTAGCCTCAATTTTGTGTAAAATATTCAGATAAAACTCTTGAGATTTCTGAAACTATTTTCATTGTCTTCTATACTCACAGACCTCATTACATTTCCATGGATGGGCTGTTACTGCATGAAAAGAATATATTACATAGTTTTGAGGCTAACATAGTGTAAAAAAGATTGCTAAAAGAGTTTTAAAAGAGTATTTATTACGGCACCTGTTGCTATGACTATTCACATGTATTCAAAAAGTTCCTGAAGCTSGATGAATATGAAAAACCATTTGAAAGACTCAGTAACGTGTTTATTGGATTTCCCAACAGTTAAATGTTTTGTCYAATGAAATATTTGAATGCGTTTTTGATCTATTAATKAATTATTGCAATGTCAGTAATAAAAACATCAGAAGAGAGGCAAGTGTTTTGGTATARCTAACAATAAGGTTTGGTCCAGTAATATCAAAATAGCATGTACATGATCAAATATCAAGCAAGGACGAATATTGGTCACTATGTATAGTATATTACCATATATAGGCATCCAATCACACCTTGGTGATTAGAAGTACTTAATTCGCGGAGGTTTTTGTTTATGTTTGAGATGACTTGTATTTGAAAATAATTCAACAAGACATTTTTATAATTTTGTTTTTGCTTGATATATCTCCTGATATCTCTAAGTTCTGCATTTCTTTTTGYCTTGGTATTCTATTTTCTTTCCGTTTTCTTATATTTCTTTTCCGCCTTTTTTTTAAATTTAATTTTCCTTCGCTTCTTCTTAGTCTAGCATATCGTTTCTCTTTAGTTTGTCTTCAAAAACCCTTTTTACAYCTTTGTACAATTTTTAGCGATGCCTTTTTCTCAGTAGTTTAACGACGCATGATGGGAAATATAGTCAAGCACTTTTCTATTATGTCAGCTAAAATAGCAAACCAAAACCGTATTGGTAATATTTAAACGTTTATGAAACGGATGGGAGCTACATTACCCAACTTGCTTTGGCCAAAGAAAGCTGCACATCTTGTCTATTAAAGAATGATTTTAAATTAAACAATGACCCTTCGAACGTTTACTTTTAGCTATTGCAACTGATCTTTTGTCTTCGTTTGKGTCGTTTTCCTTCCACATTATCTTAACCCCAATGATGACCCTAGTTCGTGGCCCTGATGAAGGGCAAACAAATTCGTGAAATAATTAGTGAACTAAAGCTAAATAGTGCTAATTATAYAATAGAATACAAAGGAAATAGCATAATTAAGTACTAATTTGTTAGCTGTYTATTTCACAGGTTTCAACACTTAAAAATTGCTGCTTTTATATGKATTTTGACGCGAACTCTCAKAATTTATTTGATTGGATAGTTCATGCTCGCGTGATTAGACCATATAAGCTATTCCATTTTGTATTTATATTTTTGCATTCTTTAAAGATAGTTGATATTAACTATGATTATAATCATATAGTCAAATTGCAAAGCCGTAGCCTCTCTCGAACCGTATAGATCAGTGCGGTTGATATTTTTTCGCGCCGATTTACAATTTGTACATAAGCTGCGGTAACAGACGTTAATTACGCCAACGCGTTAAAGTCCTATAAACACTTTTTTTCTCRCGTGCACAGCATTTCGTGACAAAAGCAGACTCTTAGCTGTCACAAGTACTTAACGCTATTCTTATYGGTCCAATAGCGAGCTTCGTYAAGCCACTATGACCATAGACTAAAAGGGTGTGTAASTATTGCTTCATTCACATCAGCTTAGGGAACTTTGTGGCTTGTCTTCTTTCTGAACATGGCGTGTAGTAAAGGTTTAGTCAAACAAAAAGAATACGACTGGAAGGACTCTAACCTTGCTTTGTTTGGGTCTGATCTCGATAAGAATGTAAATAACTTGATTGGATTGAAAGCCTATTTACTTATCTCATGAAGGTCTTTGTGTATTTGTTTTAGGTGAAAAAGGAAGCTGCATTAACTGAGCGTGCTTGGCAAGGAGCAGGGTTGCGACCAGGCTTAAAAATATGGCGAATTGAAAACTTTAAGGTAAACGTTTTCTAGCGACTGGCTGTGAGCTCTAACGTTTACACAAAGGGGGTAATTCGATAATTGGAAAAACTAGATATGTTAACTCTTCTCTTCGATTAAGATGATAGTCTTTGGAAAAACTGAACAAGTTTAATCAGTCCAAAGAATTTTATCACATTAGTTCGCCAAACTGTTTTATTCATTGGAGCAACACGAATCAATAGTTAGCACCATTTTACTTTCGAAATATGGCTTCATTAATCAATGTGCTATGT